CAATTAGTGTGTTGCAGTCTATCTCCCCTTTTAGATTTAACAGTCTTTCCTTCACATATTTGGGTGCTCCTGTGTTAGGTGCATAGATACTTATAAGCATTATATCTTCTTGATCTATTGATCCTTTTACTACAATATAGTGCCCTTCTTTGTCTCTTTGAACAGATTTTGTTTTCAAGCCTATTTTTTCAGAAATTAGTATCACGACTCCAGTTCTTTTCTGGTTCCCATTTGCATGGAAAACCTTTTTCCAACTCTTCACTTTCAGTCTATGTATGTCTTTATCCACGAAATGGGTTTCCTGTAGGGAACAAATAGAGGGTTTCTGTTTTTTAATCCATTCAGCCAGTCTGTGTCTCTTGATTGGAGAATTTAATCCATTAACATTCAATGTTATGATCAATGTTACTGGACCTGTCCCAACATTTAAGTTGGCCATTGTCTTAGTTGCCTTTTATTCCTTTGTTTCTGGCTGTTACTTTAGTTTTCCTGGAAGGTACTTTGTTTCTTCAGGGTTTCTTGAAGAGCTGGCCTGGTATTGGCAAATTCTTTCAGGCTTTGTTTGAGAAGATTTTAATCTTTTTTTTTCCCATGTGAAGGATAATCTTGCAAGATATAATAATCTTGGTTGAAATTGTTTCTCTCTTAACACTTTCAGTACATCTTCCCATTCTTTTCTTGCTTGTGTTGTTTCCATTGAAAAGTCCGGTGTTAGCCTGATGGGGTGACCTTTGTAAGTCACTTGTCATTTCTCTCTTGCCAATTTTAGCATCTTATCTCTATCTGTGGTCTTTGCCAGTCTGGCTAAGATGTGCCTTGGGGAAGATCTTCTTGGATTAATTCTATTTGGGATCTTTTGTATTTCTTGGGTCTGGATGCTTGAATGCCTCTCTAGACTTGGGAAATTTTTTTCCAAGATTTCATGGAATAGATTTTCCATGCCCTTATTAGTTTCTTCATCTTTTGAGATACAAATTATTCAGATGTTAGGGCATCTAATGGAATCTAGTATTTCTCATATGTTATCTTCATGGTTTTTTTTGTTATTTTCTCTATCTTTTTGGTGGTTTTTCTCTAGATCAGAGGTTTTATCTTCTACATCAGAGATTTGATCATCAGCATGGTCTAATTGACTTTTAATACTTTGGAGAGAGTTTTTGATTTCCTGTATTACAGACTTTGCCTCTAATAGTTCCATCTGTTCTTTCTTACTGTGTCCATTTCTTCTTTCATATCATGGAAGGACTTTCTAATCTCCTGTGGTTCATTATCCCTTTTCTGTTCCAGCTCATAGAATTTGTTCACCATGAATGTTCTGAATTCTTTATTGGACATGTTGGTAACATCCTCTAATTTTTCAAGAAATGAAAGGGGGTCACTTTGTTCTTTTGGTGGAGACATATTTCCTGCTTTATTCAGACTGGAGGCTCTTCTTCTTCTTCTAATCATTGGGGCATGTGTTCACTTTGGAATACCTTTTAAGAGAATGTTTCCTCTGATAGGAGCAGTGTGTTTCCCTTTTGCTGTGGACTGAAGACTGCCGAAGTCTCTCTTCTATTGTGTTTAGCAATGTGATCCAAGGAGTATTCTATTCAGGTGTATGAAGAAAAGTATCTCCTTTTTCACAGGTGTTTCAGTAAAAGAGAGGATCCCAGAGAGACTTGAAACACTAGAGTATTTCAGAACTGTAATTCTAGATATATCTATACTGTCTGGGAGGGTGGAGATGAAGATAGGACCAAATAAGTGGAAAGAAAATAATAAGGAGAATAAAGAAAAAGTTGCACGCTAGCGCGGCACGCCATTTCACCAGGGGTCTGAAGATGGAAGTGGGGTGGCTGTGGAGCCAAGGGCGCTCCTGTGTGGTAAGGAGAAGTGAGAAATTTACAAATGAAAGAAGAGGAGAAGGAAAACAAAATGCCTACCAGGCCGACAGAGATAGGGGTCTCTGCCTTGGGGGTCCTGGGGCGGGGAACCCTGCCTCTCAGTGTCCCTTATGCCAGGGGTCTGAAGATGGAAGTCTTAAAGTAAATTAATGTAATTCAGTATATCCAATAAAATAGAATGTTAGGCAATGATTACAAATCATGCTTTTCATGTTTCTTATCCCTCTTGGGCCCCTGATCTTTATATCCCGCCATTTGCCAGATCAAGTAAGTTTTTTCATTTTCCCTACCTGCCCCCTAATTTCCCTTTAACAGCACTATTTTTTTTATTATTATTAATGTATTTATTTATTTATTTTGGAGAGGTTTTTGTGATAGGGCGCGTGCACTCGCCAGACAGACAGAGACAGACAGTGAGACAGAAAGCGAGAAATCAACCCCCACGGGGGGGGCCACCCCTTCTCTTCCGTTCTCCTCTCAGGATCTTGGCCACGCATGCACACACGGCCGGTGTGAGTTTTAAGCCACCAGGTCTGGGACGTGAACCGCAGTTGACTACATGGAAGTCCAGCGACATAGCCATTACGCTAACTGCTGGTCCCTTAACAGCACTATTAAAATAGCTGCCTAGGTCCAGCCAGGTGGAATGATGGTTAAGGTGGCTGGATCCCGATTGCGCAGTTTTAAGTAACAAACCTGGTGACTTGGAAAATACGATGGCACACATGCATGCCCAGCATCCCAAGAGGAGAATTGAAGGCCGGTGATTGCGGCTTGGCTATGCCCCCTGGGCTGGGGTGATTTCTCACGTTCCCTCTCTCTTACTCTCTCTGGCTTCCTCTGGCGAACACACATGCCCTATAACAAAATTAAAATAAAATAAAATAAAATAAATAAATAAAAATGCCAATAACTATTTACCAAAGAATAAATAAATAGCTGCCTGTCTGGTGTACTGTTCTACTTCTGTCTGGCCAATAGGCTACTTGTATGTTTGAATCTTCCTTAAATTCTGATCACATTACTGTTTGCTCAAAATATTTCTGTGACTGGTTTCTCATTGTCTACGAACTTAATTCCAGTCTACAATACCTTTCATATTATGGCTGTAACATATTTCTTTAGTTGTGTTCATCTTTATTTTTTCCTTAACCTCCAATTAGACTTTCTTAAACACATTTCTTGCTTTCCGCTGTTAAGTTTTTGTTCTACTTTCTTTTGCCTGGGTTATTTAGCCTCCTGTTCCACCCTTTGAAATCCTACCATTCTTGAAGGTCCAATTCAGATGTCACTATTCTTTTCCCTTATTATCATATTATTGTTTAATAATATCTTTATTAGTAGTATTTTAATGATCTTTTCTCTCCCTCACGTAGATTATCAATTCCTTAAAATAAGAGACTGTGTTCTTGGAATTCTCTGAATTTTTTAAACCAGTGCTTTGTTTTGGTAAATATTTGATAAGTTTTTCAGTGAGTACTTTCATTTACCAAAAGTTTTGTTCTCTTCTCTAGTTAAAGAAGAATGTAAGAATCCTAAAACTGAATGTCAGTCCCAAAAAATGCCCAATAAGCAGGTAAGCTTTCTTAAAATTAAATTGTTTTTGTTTTCATTTTTAATTTGCCAGAAGGAGGCTGCACTAGCTGGATAAAGAAGGAGAGGGGGAAAGTGAGAAAGCACCTCCCGATGGGGAATAGTCACACTGCAATCCTCTCTCCTCCATTTCTCCCTCATTTTGGGATTTTGAACACACAAGCACACCCACCCAGCATGTTTGCAAGTCTCTATCTGGGACTCATACCATGCAGTCAGCCATGTGAGATCCAACCCCTCAACCACCATGCCACCTGCTGGCCCTCTTAAATTAGATATTTAACAGCCAACATTTTTATATAATTGGTAGCTTTGTGGTGTCTGAATCTTGCAACCTTTTCAACTAAATATTTTTTTTGCCATATGGCACATGTGCTCGCCAGAAAGATATAGAGAAACAGAAAGCAAGAAATCTTCTCAGGAGGGATAGCCACACCACAATTCCTTCTCCATTCTACTTTTGGGATTTTGGGCATGCTTGCACATGCACCCGGTGTGAGCTTTAAGCCACCAGGCCCAGGACTCCAAGTGTGGTCAGCAACATAACCATCTGCTGGTCCCCTTTTCAACTAAATCTTTTTTTTTTTTTTTTGGAGAGGTTTTCGTTATAGGGCGTGTGCACTCACCAGACAGACAGAGCGAGACGTAGAGACAGAAAGCGAGAAATCACCCCCCACGGGGGATGGTCACGCCGCAGTCCCTTCTCCTCCATTCTCCTCTCGGGATCTTGGGCACACACACACACGCGCCCAGCGTGAGTTTTAAACCACTGGGTCCGGGATGCGAACCGCTGTCAACTACGTGGGAGTCCAGCAACATAGCCATTACGCTAACTGCTGGTTCCCTTCAACTAAATCTTAAAAGTGAGTGGCAGGAGGATTGCTATAGTATAGACCGACAGTCACCAGGGTGGGAGAATATAAAGCTAAAATCCAGAATTTGGAACTAGAGACACCTAAAATCCTGGCTCTCTCTTTTAGTAATTGAGTGGCCTTGAACAATTACTTTACCTCTCACGGCTTCAATTTCTTCATCTTTGAAATGGATATTTTAAAAAATACACACATACACATGCACGTGTTTGTTTGCTAAAGGGTGTGTGTTCTTGCTGGAGAGGATGAGAAAGAAAGAGGAAAAGTGAGAAATCACTCCCCAGGGGAAATGGTTATGCCACAGTCCCTTCTCCATTCTCCTTTAGGGATTCTAGGTACACACGCACACATGCCTAGCATGTTTTTCAAGCCATCAGGTACAAGACTTGGACCACATAGTCAGTCACGTGAAAACTAGTTACCTTAACCTCTACGACAGACACCTGGTGGCCAGAAATTAAAATACTGATCATTTGGTACCAGCAGATGGCATAATGGTTACATTGCTGGACTCCCACATAGTTGACTTCTGTTCAAGTCCCGGACCCAGCAGCTTAAAACTCACACTGGGTGGGGACCAGTAGTTAGCGTAATGGCTATGTCACTGAACTCCCATGTAGTCAACCGCGGTTCAAGTCCCGGACGCAGTGGCTTAAACTCACGCCAGATGCATGTGTGTGCATGCCCAAGATCCCAAGAGGAGAATGGAGGAAAAGGGATTGCAGCGTGGCCATTCCCCTGGGGGAGTGATTTCTCACTTTCTGTCTCTCTCTCTCTCTCTGTCTTTCTGGTGAGTGCACACACCCTATAGCAAAAACCTCTCAAAAAAAAAAAAAAAAAGAGAAAAACTCACACTGGGTGCATGTTCATGCAAGCCTAAGATCCCAAAGGGAGAATAGAGAAGAAGGGATTGTAGTGTGGCTATCCTCCCAGGGATGATTTCTCACTTTCTTTCTCTCTGTCTCTCTGGCAAGCACATGTGTTCTAATAGCAAAAATCGCTCTTAAAAAAATTGATCACTGGGAACCAGCAGTTAGTGTAATGGCTATGTCGCTGGACTCCCACGTAGTCCACCATGGTTCGCGTCCCGGACCCGGTGGCTTAAAGCTCACACCAGGCGCGTGTGCGTGCATGCCCAAGATCCCAAGAGGAGAATGGAGGAGAAGGGATTGCCGCGTGACCATCCCCCCTGGTGGGTGATTTCTCGCTTTCTGTCTCTAATGTCTCTCTCTGTCTAGCGAATGCACGCACCCTATAGCGAAAATCTCTCCAAAAAAAAAGAAAATAGTTAAAAAATTGATCACTTATACTCTCTGTCCGTATATAGTATATTTTTATAAATATACATAGCCCTATACATGTATGGATAAAATGTACAGAAATATATATTTACGTATACAGTGAAAGTATATGGAGCAACATAGCAAAGCTAGGGTAAATTCTGTGGTATTAGATTGGTGTGAGGGAAGCTGAGATCATTTATGTTTTATATAGTTTCTGCTATATGATAGTTATATCTATATATTTTATAATCAAATTATAGCATTTTTATCTAAAATAATATTTAGATACCAGTAAATGGATTAATTATTTTACTTTTTATGGCTGCCTTCTTCTGAAACTCTTGTGCTATAATTTCCTTTCTTCCAGGAAAGGGATTGATAAACTTTTTGTGCAATATATTACTTTGGTGAAGTCCATGGACTTTTAGTGGAGCCATTATTATTCTCAGAATAGTATTTTTAATGCTAAGATAGAGACATGATTTAAAACAAAACCGGTTATATCAAAATATAATCAGAATTACTGCTGTTGTTTTCTTTTTTCTTTTTTTTTTTTTTTTTTGGAGAAGTTTTTGCTTTAGGGTGCGTGCACTCACCAGACAGACAGAGAGAGACAGAAGGTGAGAAACATCCCTCCCGGGGTATGGCCACGCCACAATCCCTTCTCCTCCTTTCTCCTCTCGGGATCTTGGGCATGCATGCACATGCGCCCGGTGTGAGTTTAAGCCACAGGGTCTGGGGCACAAACTGCGGTCGACTGTGTGGGAGTCCAGTTCATAGCCATTACGCTAACTGCTGGTCCCTTGTTTTCTTAGTTTGGACTGTGATAACAAAAATACCGTTCTGGATGGTTTAAACAACAGTGTTTATTTTTTAGTTCTAGAAGTTGGGAAATCCAAGATCAAGGGGCTAGCAGAATAATGCTTTTAGTGATAAAATAAAATACTTAAGATTGAAAAGAAAACCAGTTTTATATATATATATATATA